GATAGATTTTGAGGGCGAACTAATAAACCGGAATCGTATAAATTCTTCGAGAAGCCCTAAATATCTCCTCCTCCTAATATCTCAGAGCCACAGAAACTTCACTTCTCAAATCAGAAGAAGCAAAAAAATGGCGTGCACCGTAGATTTCCGGTGCCTAGACGAAGGATTCGGCGGCAAAACCTACAAACGGAAACGCGAATCTCAAGAACAAGCCGCCGCCGAAGCACTCGCCGATGAAACCTCGATGGACATCGACGCCGGCGATCTGATTCGTCCTCCTTCCGCGAAACGCAGCGCCGTTGCTTCATCTGAAAATCCAGACAAACCCATGGCTGTAGCGGTTGGTAGACCGACATACGACGGTGTAATCGCCGGAAAAGTATCAGGACGGTCATGGAAACAGCCGCGAACTCACCGATCTTCGGGGAGGTTCGTTAGGAACAAAGGACCAGATCTGGAAGAGATGAAGAGGCAAAAGGAGATTAAGAGAGCTTACAGGGAGAGGATGAATGAGCTTAAGGAAGAGATTAGGAGTAACAAGATTGAGAAGAGGAAGAAGAAGGAAGAAAGAGAGAAGAGGAAGAAGGAGAATGTTTTGAGAACTGGTACTAAATTGCAGGTGATTACAAACCCTAATACTTTGAAGAAGATTCAAAAGTCTAAGCAGAGGAAGCATCTTAAAAACATTCCTGATGAGATGGTGCAAGGATACAAGAAGACGACGAGCAAGACTCAGTGAAGTTTTTCTCTTCTTTTCTTGTTATAAGATAAAAAGGCAAGTTTTTTCAGTTTTTGTATTTTTCTCTTTAATATGTTGTTTAGTTAATGAATCTGCAGCTAAGAACTAAATGTCGTGGAATTTTCATAGTGAGAAACAGAGTTTTGCTTCAATAAACTATCTTCTTTTGCAATTGAAGCTTTAGTAGTCTAAACGGTGACATGAGTTTTGTGGTATGTGGAAGAATTTTGGAATGGTATGCTTTACAAGAAACAAAACATGAACTTTAAGATTTCGATGAATCTGACAGGATTATAGCTCCAGGATAAACGAAAGTATAATCTAGCTCTCAGATTTTGATTATGATTTGTCTAATTGAAATGACTTAATCACACATATGTAATGTAGTTTTCCATTGCTATCTTCTGGCTCTCCTTGACATGGTTCTTGGTGTTTATAATGCCTTCGATTTATAGTTACTTTCTGATAGATAGACATTCGGGCATTACTTCTCGATACAAGTTTAACTGTTCATCCTATGTTTGTTCTGATGGATTTTTCAGCTCCTCTTGTTCTTACCAGTATTTCAGTTCTATCCCTGCCTGCGCGAGAGTTTTGAGTGTTTCGTTTGATGAGAGACAGATAGTATACATCTCTATAGTAGTCACTTAACTGCTAGTATTGGACCAGAGAATGTCAAGATGAAATCTTTTGAGAATTCTGTGTGGCAGTAAATTCAGATTGATTTATGATCAATTTTCTGACCCAAGCGTTAAGTAACTTGAATCGTAATTCAGAACCTGCTCGAGCATGAAGGGTTTTGCAGACACCTTTAGGATTCCCTCTTAGAGTTTGAAAAGTTGTAAAATTTGGTTCCAAACTTTTAGAACAGAGACGAGACAAAGATATCAAGAGTTTTAGATTGTTTCAACTTTCAAACAAATACTTTTTTGCTATATCAGGTTGGACAACGGCTCTATAGGTAGGGTTGGTTATGTATCTAATTTGGTGAGAGTTGGTCGCATAAAGCTACAACGTTTTTTTACATTTCTTCTATAGGGCCAAGATCATATCTTTTTCTCAAGATCTCCTCACAAAATTTGGTGTATGCTTCAAAGGAAATAGAATCTCTCATAAAAGGAAAAATCTACACAAAATATCAACAGAACAAAGAGATAATTGCAAGAAAATAATTATGAGATAATCATTGC